GTATGCTCAAGCACGCTCGTAGTGACGTCATAACGTTTGTTTCAATCAGCGTTTGAATGTTGAGATAATTTATTCATTATTGTATTATCAAACTGTATACCATGAAAAGGCAGCCTGCCGGTGAGTTTTTGCCCGTTTTCAAGAAAGGAGTTATCATAAAAATATAAAACGCCAGCTCATATTTCCCGGAGACTTCATCATGCAAAAATAGCTAGGATTTGCTGTTCTACTCCATTATATTGCAAATTTGCTTTCGAGCGTTATGACGTCGTGACCATCTTCTCCCGCAATTTTTACCTTTTTCCCTCTACCAATACATACGTGTGGGCTAGATCTCCACACCTTGTATCCAGCTTTCCATGCTCAGTAATGGCGCCCTGTTTGTATGAATAAATGTATCCTTCACTGTGCTTTTTGACACTAAAGGTCCGTTTAGACTATCTGATTTCTTGCTCTGATTTTGACCGCCACCGCAATGAAAAATCTGCTCGATTTTACTTTCGACGGGGCTGTTGGCTGGTGTTCACACTGCTTTCACACGTCGAAAGAACTGTCAATTTAGATTTCAAAACAAAACTGTATCAGGCATCAAAAGTAAATACTTCCATAATGAATTATCGGAAAATTGCTCCAGCTTCGTCAGGCGTATTTGCTTTTATTATTTTAAATAAAATTAGAAGAAGAAGGTGAACTTTGTAGAGTAGGAAATGGTTGCTCTGGACGAACACCGGAAGGGATCTGGCTCATCTTATCTTTCAAGAATTGCGATATGAAGACGAAAAAGGATTTCAAAACTTCGCCAGGATGTCGATACCAACTTTCGACAAGCTAGGGGGGAAAGTTCTTGATCGATCTACATGATTCCTTGAGTTCTGAACATTCCTATTAAGAACTCAATTCTGCATATTTCTCTAAAGATCTTCGGAGGTCGCTGAAGTCTTGGTTTTGTTCTCTGGCAAAGTATCTTTGAAGAGCAACAAACTTTCTTGAAGATTTGCAAATTTCTCTGTAGTTCTGCTGATTTCTTTGAAGTTCTGTGTGTTCTTCAGAAGTTCTACAATTTTCTCTAAAAATCTACAAAGTTCCTGAATTTATGCAGATTTAAGATCCTTAAATATGAACAATTATCTCTGATGTTCCTTAAATTGTTAGTAATCTACGAAAAAATTCTATAATTTTCTGTGTTCATTTTCATAATTCATTGAATATATGCAACTATCTCTGAACAGCTACACAATGCCCTAAAGTATAAAAAAATTCGTAAATTTTTTGAGCTTCCCGAAAGTTTAAGAAAGTTCTCAACTAATTTTTCTGAAGTTGTGCAAATATCGTTATAGATCAGCAAACTTCCATGAAGTTCTGAAGTCATTTCTCTTAAAATCTGAGAACCTCAATCAAATTCTGAAAATTTATTTAAAAATCTACAGATTTTTCAGTCTGAACTTTTCTGAAGTTTCTGAAAATTCATTAAAATTCTGTTATGTTTTCTGAAGTACTGTATTTACGAACTGCCCTGAAGGTCAATAAATTTCTCAGTAGATCTTCAAACTTCTATAAAGTTCTGAAAATTAATTTGTAGATTCTTGGACTTCCATAAAGTTCTGCAGATTTATCTGAAGTTATTTGAAATTCCCCAAAGCTCTACAAATTATCTAAAAATATTTGAACTTCGTTGAAGTTTTAAAAATTTCTCTAAAGATTTACGAATTTCTCTGAAGTTGTGTAAATACTTCTAAAGATCGGCGAACTTTCCCAAAGTTCTGTGAGTTTCGCTGAAGCTATGCATTTTTTTTTTCTAAAAATGTACGAACTTCCTGAAGTTCTACATACTTCTCTGAAGTTCACCAGATCTACCTATTTCCCCGTTCCATGGAGTTCTGCAAAATTGTAAACTTTCGTACATGGCTTAGGTTTGTTTTTGAAATTGAAGTGTTTTTCTGAAATTTTATGAATTTTTCTGAAGATCACACATATTGCTGAAACTGTGAAGCTTTCTAAACCACTGAATGTCTCTGAAGATTTGCAAATTCCGTGCAGGTCTGCAAATTTCATTTAATATCTACTCTTTTGAAGTTCTGCAAATACCTTTAAAGTTGTGTAAAGTTGTCTGAAGCTCCGTAGTTCAAATTTCAAGTTCTACGAATTACCATGAGGCTCAATAAATTTATTAGTAGATCTGAATACTTCTCTGAACATTTGTAATTTTCTCTGTAGGTTCTCGGGCTACCCTGAAGATGTAAAAATTTCCCAGAAAATCTTCGAAATTATCTAAAATTCTCAAAATTTATCTAAAAACATATGGCGTTTCTTGAAGTTTTAAATGATTCGCTCAAGATTTACAAGTTTCCCTGAAATCGTATATATATATCTTTTTAAAAAAATCGCCAAACTTCTCAGAATTTCTGCGAATTTCACTGAAGATCCATTAACATTTCTGAGGTTTTAAAAATGAATTAGAAAATCTGCACACTTTCTTGAAGGCCTTTAAATTAACCTGAAGATCTATGACCATTCTTGTGATTTTTTCAGAAGTTGTGAATTTTTTTTCAAAGTTCTGTAACTTTGTTTTGAATATCTACGAACTTTTCTGATGTTCATTAATTTTTCAGTAGATCTCCAAAGTTCTGTGAAATTATTTACATTGAACTGTAGATTTTTGGACTTGTCTGAAGTTCTGCGAATTTCTTTAAATTTCTGTAAAATTTTCTGAAGTTTTGTAGTTCTGTTCTCAAGATCTACAAACTACCCTGAAGCTCAAAAAATTTCTCAGTACATCTCCGAACGTCTCTGAAGCTCTAAACGAATCTTATTAGGCTCTCAGACCTGCTGTCTGGCATACTACCGTATGCGTGAAGTTTGCACCATCGTACAAATAAGGTTTCCGTTTCACCTGTGCATACAATGCCTTGGTTTTCTTTGCATGCACGTAACCTATAGCTCATACCGTAGTAGGCTGTCTATAAAAGAAAATGATTTACTTAGTTTGACAGTTGCACCAACAATCAATACGAAACTAACGATTTTAAATTGGCTCACTACTTGACTAGCCTATTGGTCCCAAGCAAACGATTAGAGTACTCCATTCTAGTCGAAATTCTAGTACTACGCAATGTTTGTTTTGATTCGCTATGAAAGTTTGACAGATAAAATGAGGGGTTATTGGTTTTTCTTATGTTTCGAGGGGTGCATCGATTAGCTTGGGACCGAAGGGAGTACCAGAGCTGAGCCAAAAAGTTGAGCACGTTATTTCGGGACCTGCTAGTCTTAGAGTGACCAATATCCCGAGCAAAGCCTGAGATCAAATTGAAATCTAAATTTGATGTTGTGATTTCGCTGATAATGATTACTCAGGTTGCAGTCGTTTTGGTCATTTTAACGGTTAAAATATCAAAATTGAGAGCAAACATATCTTCCTGTGACATCACATTGAAAACTATTTCTGCTATCAGTGAGAGCAAACTGAAAACCAAATTTGATATCCCTTTTTCCTGTTGATAGCAAAACAAGTATTCAATTTGATGTTATGCTAAGGCAATGAAAACAAACCCGCAACAACATATTTCTGGAGAGCAAATGTACAGCACAATGAAAACAAAATTAGGTATCAAATTTGTCAATTGCGTAAACTGAAATCAAATTATGATTTCAGTTTGATGTTGATATCAAAACTTGATTTCAATTTGCTGTCATTTTGATGCTGGACTTTGCTCGGGATGGTTGCACCATGACGAAGTGGCAGTGTATTCGTGATTTGTCCCACGCGCAAATGTTGCAAAAAGACATTTCAATCGCCGTGAGAGTGTCCCGGTGGACCGTCAAAAGGGTTTAAGACCGAGAAAAGAAAGAACAACTATCCGCGAAGGTGGCCTGAGGTCGTCCGAGGTCAGCTGGGGTTCCGAGGGTTATCGCTGCTATCAAAAGGAAGATTCGGGTGAATTCAGTGCGTTCAATAAGGAAAATGACAAAGGAACACGGGATCAGTAACTTTACGGCACGGAAGATCGTAAAGGAAGATTGCGGGGCGAAGTCGAGTGCACGAAAAAAAAACTCATATGATTACCAACCGCATCCGGGAGCTACGAGTCGAACGATGCAAGAAAATCTTGAACTTTCTTAAGCGAAAAAATCCGGTAATCCTATTCACCAACGAGAGCATGTTTACCGTATCAAATTCCAGAACCGACCGGTATATTAGTTCTCTTCCGGTAAAAGACGTGGCCGACGAGCACAAGAACGTGTATCTGACCAAGCATCCTGCTAGCGTTATGGTGTTTGGATTGGTGGCTTTCGATGGCAAAAAAATGGACCCGGTGTTCATTCCAGAAGGCGACAAGGTCAACACGGAGGTCTACATCGGGATTTTAGGTAAGTATGTTCTTCCGTGGATCAAAGAACAGTACGGTCCGAAGCCAAATGTTGTATTTCAACACGATGGGGCTCCGTACCACACCTCGAACAGCACTCAGAACTGGTTGCAGGAACATCTTCCGTTCTGGGTGAAGGATATGTGGCCGCCATCCAGCCCCGATCCTAATCCGCTGGATTACTCAATATGGCGCGTCATGAAGGCCAAGGCCTGTTCTAAACGCCACCCGAGTACAGCAAGCCTCAAACAAACATTGACCCGTACCTGTAGAGAAATGGATCCAGACTACATTATTAGAACCTGCCGTGCATACCGGAAGCGTGTGGAGGCCGTAATTGCAGCAAGTGGAAACTCGATCGATGATTAACATAGTTTAGGACTCTGAGAAACATCCCCCCTTTGAATAAATGAAAAAAAAACTCGAAAACGGCTAATTACACTGGAATATAATAAATCAGTCAAATCATTCACAGGACACTATTGAATAAAGAAATCGGTTTACCTTGCTGCTGGCTGCCATCAAAACACACATCATGCGTTCTTAGCAGTTCAAATCCGTGAAATTAAAAAAAATCAATCTTTTCACCTCCCTTGCGGCTATTTTGCTGACAAATCAAACGTCAAATCTAATCATCATGTCGAAAAAGTGTGAACGCATCCGAACATTGCATCCGACAAAATTATCGAGCAGTCCGCTCGAATCAGACCAAGAAACCAGATAGTGTAAATGAACCTGAACTGGAGGGAGTATTCGTCCGATCGAAGCAACTGAGGTAAACTCACATCTGAACAGCACCGAGAATAATCGTATCGAATCCGCAATCGAATCCGCAATCGAATCCCTTCAACAAAAACTAACTTTCCGAAACTTCAGCGGTAGACTTAATCTTCTAAAAGTTCAAACATTATGCCAATATGGGGAACAAAGCTAATTCCGTTGATTTTTTTTTTCCTAAATGTTATACATTTTCGCATCGACCTAAGCACTTCAAACTGCTTGTGATTTGTACATTTTTTTCTCGCTCTCTCTCGTGTAAGTCTGTGTAATTCGGATTCATATCTCTTATCTTTTTGGTGATACGTACTATGCTTGATTTTAAAAGTTAAGAACTTAAAGGTAAACATACGTCAGCTGTGTGTAGAAGAAGACTGCTTCCAAGCGTGTTTGATGCCATGAAACCTGCGAACGAATAAAATAACCAAATCATGTAAATGAGAGCTTGCATTAGTTTACAATTGTTTCTACGATTGACGCTTTTGAATCCATTACTATTTATAGAAAAATTAAAAACAAACCATGTTTTCAATGTTGCTCACTCGCTTCCGTCAGCAGCGTGACCAAATTCCAGCAGATCGGTTACTTTTGCCCGCCCCAAACACACACACACAAACACACTCACGCGCATATGAATGATTCAAATTCAAATCATTGTTATTTATTAATAACTAAGTACGTGTTTGCATATTTGCACAAGAGGACTACTGGGCCGTTCCCTGGGCAGTGCGCACCGAGACAAATGAGAAACTAGAACTAGGCATCCCCACAGTCAGTCGAATTCCCCCCCTAATACGCTCGCAGAAATTATTCATTTTCTATTTATATTTATTTTTAATCACAAATCAATCACCGTGATATGGAAAATTTAGCAACTGCCACGGCGCGGGAAACGTTTCCAGCAGAAAAATATTTGGAGTGAGAGTTGGTCCGGCTGTGAAAATAAAAAAAAATTGCATCCCTTTCGATTATTCAAAATTTATACACAAAATATGCATGGAAGAGTAGATGTTAGTTGAAATTGAGTCGACAGGGTCGGAGCTTGGGGGGGTGGTTTCTGTTTTTGGATTCTGATTTTATTACTGTCGGGCAAAACATTTACTTCGGCCTAATCGCCCTTTTCCGTCCCATCGAAGAGAAAACATTAAATATATCTATGATTTAGGCGTTGACGATTCTGTTATAGGTTTGTTTCGATACGTTAACGAGAAGATTACAACCTCAAAAATATGTTTTGATTTTTATAAAAATATTGGATGATGGCTTCGGCATTCATTAACTGTTTTGGGAGATCAAATTTTGAACGTTAATTTCGCTGTATTTTCTGGGGGAGTAGAATAACACTACCTTGTTTTTTTTTTTTTGCAATTTCTTATTGAAATGGTTTCGGATGGCCACATAAAGTAATACGGAACAAATACGGATTAATTTCAACTTCGATAAAAACGCATGTAGTTTATTATATAGTTTTCTTTTGTATGAAAGGTAAAAAAGTAAACATCATATGGTACACTTCTGGTCATAAAACAAAAAAAGCGCAGAAGGTGCACACTCTAGGAAATAATAATATTGCTGCTCACGACTAGGGATTGTATCACCAACACCCCTGCTCAATTACTGGAGTTAGCTAGCCCGATGCCAGCACAATGCTTCCGAAACGCCGCAACAGGAAGACTCTTGGTCATCATGTCTGCCTGCGTATTTAACGATGTTACGTACCGAAGAATGATCTTCTTTGACTTCACCAGATCTCGAAGGTAATGAAACTTAACGTCCACATGCTTGAGCCGACCGAAATCCTTAGACATTTGAGGTCACGCAACAGTCTTACCAGCCACTGCTCATGGCATGCTGCCACACAAAGTGCAGCAAGTTCCGCTTCCGTTGATGACAGAGAGACGGTTTGTTGCTTTCTTGTAATCCACGCTATGGTACATCCAAACACCTTAAAAATGGCACCGCTGACAGATCGCCTGTCTACAACATCGTTGCCCCAGTTTGCATCGGAGAACACTTTCATCGTAGCAGCATCCGGATTCCTTTTGAACAACAGACCCATGTCTAACGTCCCCTTTACATAGCGGCCAATGTAGATCCGTTGGATAGCTTTGATATTGGCTAAAGAAGTTCACAGATGCTTTCAAATCCGGTCTAGTCGTTATCGCTGCGTAGGTTAAACATCCGATCAACTCTCTGTAGGGTTGTGTAGTCCGATCCTTTTCTTCGCCGCGTTTAAGCTTCAACCGATTTTCCATGGGTGTTGAAATCTGCTTGGAATTGTCCATTTTGAATCGCTTCAACAAATCCTCGAGATACTGCTTCTGACTTATACGCATCCAACCGTTATTCACGTCACGATCGATTCGTAATCCGAGGAAACATTTGATTTCTCCTGCGTCCGTCATCTCTAACTCATGAGCCAAGCAATATTTTACTGAATCAACAAGCTTTAACGACGTATCAGCAATCACGACATCATCAACGTATATCACCAACATTACTAAGTCGCAAATTATCACCACACAAAGCTACAGTTTTGTTTACTTCGCGCTATGAATAATATCAAAATTATTGTGTATATAACGTGGATTTTTTCACGAAAATCACTTAAACGGATCAACTAGTGCCTGAAAATTGTGAACCAAGTGTAATTATTTAGACTTATGGCGAATCTGGAGTGCTACAAAGCAAACAAATTACCATCATATCTCTATTGATATTAGCAACAAGTAGTGTATAGTAACTAGCTGGGAACCCGTGAAGCTCTCGGTTCTTTGACATAGAAGTTTTTAAGTGAGTGTGAAACCGTAAGCCGCAGTGCCCTTCTCCGGCCCCATGGTCGGCCACAACCGTGCACCCTCCCCAGGGACCCACCGGATGGGGGAACATTTCCTGACTGGTTGCTAGGCGAAGATGAGCTCGGACAGGTTATTGCGCTACAAATGAGAGTACGTCAAACTGAACAAAATGAACTCAGCCTCCCATCCGATCCTTTTTTGATCGGTAGCGCAGTAATACTAGCCCTGGGCTCTGTTGATGCTAGCAAAGTCCATGCATCAAAGGAAGCACGAGGTAGCCGATACATTCTTCGAACAAAGTCACGATCAATCTGCGAAAAACTGAAACAAATCTTCGAACTGCCGGATCACACTCCTGTGGAAGTAATAGAACACCCTGGGTTAAATGTTGTTCAAGGGGTAGTGTATGATCTGGATACTATAGACAAATCTGAAGAGTATATTAAGCAACACCTACAAGAGCAAGGTGTGTGTAGTGTACGTCGTATCACAAAACGTCGTGCAAACACCGTCACCAGCACACCACTGCTCGTTGTCACATTCCGTGGATCGATTTTACCAAAGTACATCTATTTTGGTGTACTTCGGATTAATGTACGGCAATATTATCAATCTCCAATGTTCTGCTACCGCTGTGTTCGGCCACACAAAAAAGAACTGCGACAATAGCAAAAATCAACTCATATGCCTAAACTGCTCAGGTACACACAAATTGATTGAGGGAACCCCATGCACTAAACCAGCGTACTGTAAAAACTGTCAACAAGAACACTGTCCAACATCCAAGGTATGTCCAATCTATCGCGAGGAAGAAGCTATTGTTCGGCTAAAAACGAATCGTGGCCTAACGTACGCAGAAGCTAGACGGGAATTCCGTGAAGCCAATAAAGGCTCCTCCTACGCGAGCGCTGTGCAATCAAGACTCCGGTATCGAAGCAGAGGATAAGGATCGTACAATTGGGCTACTCAAAGCAGAAATCAAAACGTTGAAACAAATGGTATCGAATTTGAAGTCTCAGATAGGCAAAAACCGTCGTGACCCTCATCGCTCGACAAATCAGTCAAACAATGACTCGAATGGAAATGATTTCAGTGAGGATGCACCTACAGATGCTCTGAGAATTTCACCTCTGGCAGCAACTGTGAAAGCAGCTCGCTTAGTGGCACCTAGTCAACCGAGAGAATCGGCTCTGAAAGCAACATCCAAAGCGTTTCACATTAGTCTTGAGAGGATCGACCAGAAGCATACTGGCAAGACACCGGATCATATGGACATTGACCCTACTAGAAGTAGCAAGAGAAAAGGTGTTGATAACAAGAAAGACAGCCCACCCCCAGAAAGGAAAAGAGGAGGTTCGACTTCGGATTTAGGAAGAACCCACCGAAATCAATCCAAAAGAAATTAATGGACCAACAACCACAACTCTATAATTTTGACCCGGCTATGGACCCTGACACGACCTACGACCCCCGATATGACTCTGAAACCAACGAATACTCTGGCATAAAAATGGACCATGACCTTGGAAATCGATTGGATAACGACACCATTACCAGCATCAATGTTGGGCCTAAGTCAGGAATGAACACCTGGGGGGATTACACCCAGTGTCCAACAAATCCTCTTGGGGATCAGCCGAAAACAAAGTGCTAAAGCTTCCACTGAATGTCCTCAGCAATGCGGACTTGTATGATCAACTATACCACCAAACACAGAAGCAAAGCGTAAGCAGAGATATCTGCAGTCACAAGACAACATCTCAAATCAACAAAACTCTATTACGTGGGGCCTCCCTTAGCTCAGTCGGTAAAGGCGCAGCTACAAAGAAAGACCATGCTGGAGGTGGCTGGGTTCAATTCCCGGTCCGGTCTAGGAATTTTTCGGGTTGGAAAATTTCTCGACTTCCCTGGGCATAGAAGTATAATTGGACTTTGCCACACAATTATACCAATGCGAAAATGGTACAGGCATCGAAAACTCTCAATTAATAACTGTGGAAGTGCATCTAGAACACTAAGTTGAGAGCACGCAATAAGCTAATATGCGATATGCAATAAGCTTGAAATGCGAAGAAGAAGAAGAAGAGTGAGCTGTAGACTCCAGGTACAGGTCAATCTTAAATTGCAAGTGCAAATGCACTGAAATTTTTTTATTTTGGATCTTTACAAAAATCGAATGAAAAGGATCGATCCAGTCGATTTTTGTCGTGTTTGAGATCGATTCAAAAAATCGATTAATCGAACCAAAAGAAACGATCTTTTGTGTTTCGATCCAAGATCGCCCATTGCTAGTTGTAACAACCCTGCAAACTATACTAAGCTAAGCTAAGCTAGTTCGTGCTACTATAATATTATCCGAAAATTTATGGGTTATTCACATAAGCCTTATTGGGTATCCTGACCTTACCACGCTAGACCCATTTTTTGCCCCGATAAGGAAGTCATGCGAAAACCTCTGAATCCAACCCTGCCTCACAATCAATGTAACACGGATATGCACACATTTCGAATGCGACGGGGTAAGGGAAAATTTCCATCTTCCTTTGAACCTTTGAACCCTCAGCGTGTGATGAACATTACTGCACACCCTGCCTACGAATGAACGCA